TGGGGGGTGTGTGTGTTGTGTGTGTGTGTGGTGTGTGTGTGTGTGTGTGTGTGTGTATAACTATGTCTCTCTTAGCTCTGAAAAAGTAAAAATAAAAACAAATACTAGAAGATATATTCTTTTTAAGTTACAGACTAAATTTAATTCTACTTGAGATTAAAGGTTTTATGAAACACCGAACATGTATTGTTGTGCTGAGGAAGTAGATCTATTTTTATAGTTGGGAACTTCCACTTGACCCAAATGAGTAGGAAAGAAGACATGCTAAATACGAAAAGACTATGAAGATATAAATACATATGAATATATGCTCACATATATGTATGCATATATGCACAAACATAGGACATTTCCCCCTAACCCCTCATCAACCTCTTCAGCACATGTATGTTGTCCTCTGTTATGAAGTAAAACTAATTGCCCCATCCAGAGAGCTCGGGTGGCTTAGTGGTAAAGAGTTTTGCTGTCAACGCAAAGGAAGGAGGATTGAACCCACCAGCTGCTCCATAGGAGAAAGATGGAAATCTCCTCTCTCATCTGATTTTCAGACTCTGATAACCCACTGGAGGGTGAGCTATGAGTTGATTTTTGATGGCACATGGAAACAACAGTATGCATTTATTATGTCTGAGAGATGAACACTTGGTTCTTCTAAAATTATTCCAAAAAAATATTAAACAAGTGAGGAGTAGTACAAAGAATTATATAGTAACTACTAAGAAGCATTGGGACAGTTTAGAACTTGTATAGAGAAAGGAGAAATCTATGAACAATAGAAAACAAGAATGATGTTTGGGAGACAGAAAAGAGCTGTGATGTGCTGGGATAGTCTATTTGAGGACATACTAGAGAATTTTTGAAGGAGAAAATGTTCTATAGAGGAGTACTCTGAGGCCTAGGATTGAGATGGAGATGCTGGCATGGTAGCAGAGTAGAGAATGATGACACTGATGAGTCCAGAAAAGTAACCCAAATCTGGTTGTACAAGACTTCATGTTCTTATTTTCTTTCTTTCCACAAGTGAAACACTAAACTGGTGATCATTTGTAGGTTAATACATTGAGCTTTTAGATTAGGCAGCAAATAAGTGTTTGTCACAGAATTATTTTGAACATTTTTTAGCTTTTTTGGTTTAGAAAGAGAAATGTTTTCTTTATTTATTTATAAGTTTTCCTTATTGTTTTCCTTAAGGAATCCTGCCTGGTGTGTAGAGCCTAAAGTGCTGGATTGCTAACCCAAAGGTCAAATCTAGAAGCTTTTCTGCAGGAGAAAGATTAGTAGTCTCCTCTCATAAAAATGTATCTATATCCTTGGAAACCAGTGGAAAGTCACCATGAGTTGGAATTGACTTGAAAACAGTTGATTTTTATTTAGCTTATTTGAGAACACTTGTTTGCTATTTCCTATATGGTTTAAAATTAGAAAAGATGTGTGCCAAAAAAAGATGTTTTCTCCATTAACTATTCAGTCTGCATGCTGAATATATCATATGAGAAGCTGGACTATATGGAGATGGGTGTTATGCAGATGACATAACTTTGCTAAAAGTGAGGAGGACTTGAAATGATTACTGCAGAAGATAAAAGACTTTGATAAGGATTGCATCTCAACATCAAGAAGACAAAAATCCTCACCACTGACCAGCAGAAAAACTCATGATAGATGGAGAAAAGACTGAAGTTGTCAACAATTTCATCTTACTTGGATCCACAATCAACATCGTTAGTACCAACAATGAGCAGATCAGAAGATGCATTGCATTGGACAAGTCTTCTGTCAGGAACCTCTCCAAATCACTGAGGAACAAAGATATCAGTTTGAGGACTAAAGTGTACCTGATTTAGGTCATGGTCTTTTCAATCACTTGTTATGCATCTGAAGGCTGGACAATGAGTAAGGATGACAGAAGAACTCATGCCTTTGAGCTGTAGTATTAGAGAAAAGTACTACTATTGTATGGACTGCCAAAAGAACAAACAATAGATAGTGTTTGAAAAAGTATAGCCAGAGTTCACCTTGGAGGCAAAAATGGTAAAGCTTTGTCTCACATACTTTGGGGCATGTTGATAGGAAAGGCTGTATATTGGAGAGGGACATCATGCTTGGAAAGGCGGGGGGTCAGGGAAAGGGAGGGAGACCCTCGATGAGATGAACTGACCTGTAGCAATGGGCTCAAGTGTTTTAGAGATGATGAAGACAGCACAGGATAGGACAGGATTCAGATCTGATGTTCACAGTGTCACTATGAGTTATTCTTGATTTGATGAGTACCCAACAACACCAACAAGTCCTTCCTATCTACTTTTTTCCTTATTCCTTTGAAATGCAATTGTTCAGTCTTGAAGGGAGGTAGTAGCCAACAGTTGGTGGTACTAAGGCCATCTTGTCTGTCTTATAAACTAATGCTGTGTTAACGACTTACTGTTAATGTATTTTTGTAATTAGGATAGCAACCCTTGGAACTTGCAGGACAGGTTGGAGTTATCTTAGAAGAACCTTCAGAAAGACATCTGAACTGACAGGAAGAGATAAAGCCCTAAAGTTTCCAAA